TGCGGCCTATATCGCTCACCCCTAGTATCTCCAAGCTCGCAGAGGACTTTGTCGTCACCGTACACGTGAAGCCAGCAGTTCTGGGTATGCTGGATCCTAGTCAGTTTGAAGCGATACCAAAGTCGTCTACAACCCTCACCCTCCTTGATATGTTCCACGTTTGGTTGCAAGGGACTGATAGAAACGGATCAACTATAAGAACCCTCTTGTTAGATTACAAGAAAGCTTTTGACTTAATAGATCATAACATTTTAGTGAGAAAATTACGTGCGCTTACTATTCCACCTAGCGTTACTAATTGGATAATAGATTTCCTTTCAGGCCGCTCGCAGAGAATCAAACTCTCTGAAAGCTGTGTATCAGAATGAGGCACAGTTCCTTCAGGCGTGCCTCAAGGGACCAAACTTGGTCCATGGTTGTTTTTAATCATGATTAATGACCTAGCAATTAGTAATGCATCACTTTGGAAATAAGTAGACGACACGACGACATCTGAAGTAATTAGTAAAGGATAAGTGAGCAATGCGCAAACTATAGCAGATGAGGTAGCGAACTGGTCCAACAGAAATAGAGTCAAACTAAATACTGACAAATGTAAGGAACTTCGCATTTCTTCTGTTTCAGTTAGTCATGATTTCCCTCCTGTAGTTATCGGAGGAGAGTGCATAAAGGTTGTTACTGATGCTAAACTCTTAGGCGTAACTATTTCAAGTGACCTATCTTGGAACGCGCATATCACAGAAGTGATAAAAAAGGCAGCTAAAAGGCTCTATTTTTTCATCCAGCTTAAAAGAGCCCGCGTTTCTCAGAAAGATCTTCGTCTTTTCTACATCACATGTGTGCGCTCCGTTATCGATTATGCTGTACAAGTGTTTCATTGTGTTCTACCTGCCTACTTAATGCCAGAACTAGAGCGCGTTCAAAAAAGGGCAATGCGAATCATCTGAATATCAGCACGCTTTAGTACTAACGAACCTACCGTCCGTAGCGGAGCATCACAGTGATATTTGCAAGCGTACGTTTGAAAGTATTTTCAATGACAGCGGCCATAAACTCAGGAAATTACTGCCGCCCCTACATCAGAGCAAGTACAACGTTAGGCACGCGCCATCTTTCAGCATACCGCGCTGTGAAACAAACAGATTTAACAATAGTTTTACTATGGCAACATACGCCCTAGTGAATACTGTTTAAATTATTAGACCTTTAACAATATGATTTCAGCAAGATGGTTATAGTTTTTAAATGTTTTAGATATTACTTTCATTAGCTCTCAGGTATTATTCAATTTGTAAGTTTGTACATTCAACTAGAATTTTAATGAAAATACGTAATTCAGCTCTACGAGCTGCGATGTATTTCAAAAAAGAACCTATCTATCTATCCAATCTATCTATCTGACTTGTACTCCACTTGAAATTTTTAAACACCGTTACTCGACTATTTGAATAAAACAACCATGTAACTGAAATATCAGTTTAAAGTAATTTGCATCAAACAAGCTCATAATAGTAAGAAACTAAAAGGGAAAATGTCCTGCATTTAAAGAACGCCTAACTGAAAACATCTAATTCCAAATAAAGCGAAAAAAAAATAACGACGATATACGCCCTGTACATTGGGGTTTCACTGAACTTAGAGTTTGAATCACAAGATCATCACTGTATAACAAACTAGCCAACAATGACGGGAACTGTAAACTCTATGGAGTTCTTTAGTGAAAAATTGACTCAATAAGAAAATTGTGCATATTTATCAAGGATCATATTCATCGAAGACCATAATTTACCCAGTAATGTTAAAAATCTAAGGTTTAGGAACTCACCAAGATGTCTGGTCATGTTGGAGTGCCATCCGTCCAACTAAAGGGCGTCTCAGAGATGTTTCGCTTTATTTCCAGGGTGTTACACTCTCGACGCTTTATTGCTATTTTTCGGGGGTCCTGCTGCTTCGATTTTATAATCATTGCAAAACTTTTCCAAGAATCTGTGGAATAGCTGTCTCTATTAAAATCTTGAGAGCTGATTGCAAGCGTTTAATCAACAGGAAATCACTAGTAAACCACCGCTTCTGGAACAGCTGATACCAACAGAGAGCCAAAAATAACCACCTTCGGAGACATCAGTATTACCCAAGGCATGTGAATACCAAAAGAGCTGGGCATTGAAGCCGTGAAAATCACTTTTTGAATCTGTCTTGTAGGAGTCACGAAAGCACGTCGACATATTACTACACAACAAATCTTCGAAGTCTCTGCCTCCTCTTTTCCTTTTGGGTAGGAAAGAACCTCACTTTCTTGCATGTTTTGCGTGCGCTATTTGCCACCCGTATTAAGAGGTGTTGGGATTTTTCTAATAAGTAGATCAAACTTCCATGTTTAACTTACTTTGTTTGACTTAACAAAGCACAAGGATTTTCTTCCATCAAAATCCCTTATCCTTTATTTTAAATTTAAGAGACAAAGCGTGTATGGACATGTCTCGGTTGCACTCAAGTCAAATCACACTGTCAAGCATGTACATCGGAACTTACCATTGCTTAGCTAAAATAAAACGACTTCAGCTTTATTTAACATATTTGACATACTTGGTAGTCAGTTCTTGAGTTTTTAAAATCCCTCTTTGTAGGCCCAGTGTCAACAATCAGCCAGCCTGAATAAGGTTCTCAGTGAATGCGTGTTGACAAACAAAAACCTGATAACAGCTGCAAGCTTTGCTTTGCTTGTCTTTTTTTCTCCTTTCTTTTTTAAGCAAGCGCTTGGCGGGAACAGGACAAAAACTTCTCGTTCCGAATTGTCACAAGATGAGACACAGTCAAGGTTCTCTTTGCCACAAACGACAGCAACCCTAAAACCGTGTAATAAATGTGTGATTAGTTCTATGTTGTTTTAGTCATGTGTATCTCTCAAGATCCGATCATCACCATTGAGTAGCAATCAATAGTGATCGAGGTTTAAAGCCTTATTCCTTTTGAACCGCATATGCTACCTAAAAAAAGTAAGAAGCCCTTTAATATCTTCGATCTAATCTAAGTTTTTTTAAACCAGATATTACATGCTTGATATCGGGAAAAATTCTTGCTCAAGTAGGTTTAAATCTTCCCGTGTTAGTCTTCACTATTCAACCAATCTTAACTATCCGCATCACTTTAATTTGTAGTTTTGTGTTTCCTATTCACTGTTTTTCTTCCTGGCAAATCATATTACGATTTTCCTTCATTTCAATAGTCCAAGCTAACTTCATGTCGCATGAAACGACCTCCCTACGAATCGACAATTCGGTGTTTTCTGGCCTCGCAGTTTTTTAATCAGACAACTTTAATGACCACACAGCAGTTTCGTCAGTGACCTTTTTTATAGCTCAGCTTTTGAAAACCCGACGCTCTTTGTCGATATAATGTGGAAATCAATGAAAAAAAACCAGGTTCTTCGATTCTGTCTTTCGCTGATGGTGATAAATCATTCAGGACTCTAAAGATTACAGGTAGTTTATTTTCGTTGTACCAGCTTTACCAGTAACACTTATGAGAAAACACTACTTGCCCCTGTTAGGCAGTATCCCATTAGTGCAGAAAAAAACTATTGACAAATTCTGCTCGGCCTTGAGCGTGAGCGGATTCGACAATGGGTGATATTTGGACTTTGCACTCTCCTAGAAATTAATTACATAACCGAATAAGTACCTTGAACTGGGACTATAGCCAGTCCAAAACGACCGCCTCGATGGGTAAAAAATATGATGGACAGTTTTATTCTCTAATAATTTAACATAAACAAGAAATTATATTTCAAAAATTTCCTTTTTTTTTCTCGTGGCTGATTCATCACAATGATCCGTATGGATGAAATTCTGGGTGTGTGCTACTATGGCAGAGACATTAAATATTCTTTTGTCAATTTTTATCTAACAGCCTAAACAAAACGAGTTTATTAACTTTTCAATTAATACTTGCAAGTGTTTTTCTTCGTTCGTTTTTGAACTATCACCGAATAGCAAAAAAAACAGTTCCCCTCCCAACCTATGAACGAGCAAAGCAAACCTTAAATGCGCGAATTTTCTGAATTTGCTTCGAAATATGAAAGATTGCTCTCCCAAAACTAAAATTGATAATAAACTCACATGTATGATCACTGCTCCGTTGGACTAAAGTTGAAGTTTCCGGTGTCCATAGATTTCATCTTTATACTGAAAACTTCCAAATATTAGCGTCTTGTGATTTTAGCATCTCAGACTGTGATTTTTTTCTTCTCTGATGAGCAGGATAGACCTAGGGTACAACTTCTTTCAAAAGCCTTCGACATGTGTACTTTGATAAAATGTGCATTTACCTCAAAGCCTTTTCTAGGAATTTTAAAACAATAGCCATTGACGTGTGCGTTGTTTTCTGGTGAAAACCAGCTTCTCCGTAAAAGGTTTTCTAGGAAAAAAGTATTCAATTTTTAAGATTAAATACCTCCAACAAACACACCCTCAATACCCCCTCTAGGCTTTACGCCTCGCCAGCTTTGCAAAAGCTAACCTTGGACTTTAGCACGCCATGAAGGGGTAATTCTTGGAAAGCAGACTAATTGGATGATTCGTGGTCATAGCATTTTAATATTTCTCCGAAAGCTCGACTTTTATTTATGCGGCTAAAGGTAATTTGGCGACTAAAAAAATCCATCCTACCTCCCCCTTGAAGCCATACCATTTCGATATTTGCTCTCAATTTTAGGCAGATTTCTCGACTAAGGTACAAAACGACCTAAAGAAATTAAAAGTGATTTGCTCTCTTTGACGCCCAGCCAATGAAATATTCGATAATTTGAGGCTGGAGTAGAAATTTAAGGGTCCCAGTCATGGGACTGTCATCAGTTTTACTCCATAAACAATTCCTGATCCTCCCCTCCCTCCCAATTCCTGAGACAAATCACTAAGACGAAATTTGATTGGTTCGCTTCAGTTTTAGCTCGGTCAAAACGAACATCCCGAGGGACGCCTGGCACTTAGTATGAGGTTTTCTCGGAAACGGAATAGCTTGTGGCAGTTCCCGGAATGAAAAATGTAGTTTTAAACATGTATTTGTGCTTCGAACGACAATTGCTAGTTTTCCCACAACGTTGAGACATGAAATGTTGACGAAATCTAAGAATGGGTGTTAATGGCGGTCCAGAAGTTTGGAGAAGAGTCAGGGAAGCTTGTACACGAAGAACTTGGCCATGGTCTCGTTCAACTTCCCTTAGGGAAGGAAAAGGAACTGTAATTTTCGCGTCGATTCACGAAGATTTGACTTTCGCATACCGTCCAAACTTGAGCGTTAGGGTGAGTTGAGCTTTGCTTCACGTTAGTTGATCGAAGGAGTTTCTTTGTTTCGGTCTAAAGTTCATGTAAACACTGCCTGCGTTCTAGAGTCCTCGTGACACGATCGATAGAAATGAAACAGTAACTTACGATCACGTACGGTGTTGCTCCAAGTTGAGTTTTAAATGCTTCGTTTCGAGGTTTTTCTGAGAACTGGATAACGTGTTACCCACGAAATACCATAGTCGTTTTTCTGTTTTGAGAGCCTTCAGCAAAAATAGTCCCCAATTTCATAGTGAACTCCTATGTTTAGATTTACCTCCCGGTGGTAACTCGACTTTGCGGTTTTTAGGTACATTTAGGCGCGTTTTAAACGATCTTTGCAAGTTTTGCGAACATTTGCATTTAAATTGTTTGATTGATTTTTTTAATTTATGAATGGCCGTCTCTTTTGATGAGCTCTCAATCTTTTACGTTCCAAAACGTTTTGACAGCTAAGAAGTGACCGACAGTACATATATCGTTAAATGCAGACTGTTTAGCCTCTCGATCAATTATGGAATCAGTGCATAAACTTAATTAGATTATTCGTGTTTCCAAGGGATAGTAACAGCCATCGGCATTCTACCACGAAAGTCAAACATAACTTAGTGCAACACCTGTTAATTAAAAAACAATGTGGTTTAGAAACTCATCGCAATTAAATGATTTTGTGTCTTCATTACCTGTTTTGGCAAACTTAATGGTGTGTTTTTTTTGTTAGTTTCATAATCTAATACATATTTGAAGCATCAAATATCAAAGGAATTACTTCTGAGATCAACAATTCTCGGAAAATCTTTTGTTTGTGCAATAAAAGTGGTGTTGACATCTGTTCCATTATTTAACACCTAAGTTAAGAGATGTCACTATTGTCCTATTGATTAGAATCCTATACTCTGATGTGTTTTTTGTGCACATATATCTGCAGCAAACTGAAAAGACTGTTAGCCTTCCAAACCTACTATTCTGCTAGACTATATACTGCTTGTTATCACAATCCTAAATCTGTTAACAATCAATTGCTTGAGGAAATAGCACTTAATGAATTAATGGCTTTGATGGCAAATATGCATGGTAATTAGTTCTTAGAAAGATAAATGTTTACAAAGGTGGCTTTATTTCAATTCCTAGAAATGTATTGCTATTTAAAGAGACCTCTAACCAATGGTTTTCCTCTGAGACCAATCAAACTCCTCCTCTGAAAACATACTAATCCTCAAAGGTGACACCTGGGTTTTCATGCTTGGCATAACATTCCTAAACCCTGATATCAAAACACAACTTCTCCTCTTTTCACACTCTACTTTTCTTGAAGAAGAATTAGGAGAAGTTGGTCAATATCAAAAGAACTTATCTTGTGGTCTGTGTGTTTGAGTAATAAGTTAAATTTCAAGGAGAAATTTGCTGTCAATCACATATAGGATTGAAGAGGTTAGAGGGGGTACTTATTAAATGAGCATTGTGGGTGGTCACCTGTTCTTCCGAGAAAAACTCCTAGAACTGTGTATTATGCCAAACAAAAGGCTTCTTAATAACTGTTTTTTTTTAATGGTTTCTGAGAATTTTTTACATACTAACTTCAGACTGGAGGGTACCGGGGGACTGATATTCAATTTCATCATGGGATTTCAGTTGTATTTATCTCTCCTACTATTTGTCTGCCTACCAAACAATTTTTTTTTTAATCTGAGTTTTGAAAATCTCGCATTGGATCAACCAGTAATCACCTAATTGTTTTTTTCTTTTATTCTCATTACTTGTCACTTGTCTGCTTGATATTGTATCAATATTGTAAGGAGAAAGTCTGTCTTGGTCATTCACTTAAGATACTGGTAAAGGGAAAGTTACAGAGCTTCAGAGCAGTGCTCATTTGACAGGTCCTAAACAGGAATAAACAATTTTATCCATGCTTATTAGACAAGCAGAGCCTAAGTGCAGTGGGTTGACTGTTGTAATACGTTTGTTTTCTTTTTCGCACAGGATGTCTGCACAGAAGCAGCCCAGATACTCAAAATCTCCCCAGTTGCATTGGATTTTTTCACCTTGGTTTCTGTAGACAGCAGACATTTTCTTAATCCAAACAAGGTGCTTAATGAGGCCGAGTGTACCAGCCAGGTTTACTCATTCAGACTGTGTATCAAAGCCTGTCATGGCCTAGAGCTGAGGGACATTGATAAGAAAGCATTTGAATATTACTTTCATCAGGTGTGTGTTGCAATTTTTGCTCATTTTTCCCTCATGTAATAACTGATACATTAATCTTTTTTTTATTTTTTATTTACTGAATAACTGTAAATTGCTATGAATCAGGGTTATTTATTGTCATTTTTATACATGCCTTATTATAAAAAATGTAATTGGTCAAGAGCATTCAATTGATATACAATAGCACAAGAAATTGACCTGATAAACCAATGTATGCTGTGGACATTGAGTTATCATGTCAAGTTCAAAGTCTGCCTAGTTTCCAATCCCCTCATCTGTGTAGTATTCTCTTGATAATTCATGATATCATGCAATTGATGTATGAGCTGAATTGAGAGGGTGGCTGAATAGTCCATTTTACAGTGGTGTGCTTGGTTGCCAAGCCTTCAAACAGGAATAAGGCTAAGGGTGACCTTGTTATGATACAAACCTTGCTGCTTTTCAAATGCGAATCACTTTGTTATCATGCTAACTAGATACTGGTCTCTGTCACAACAAGGTCACCTTCAGCCTCACTCCAAATCAAAGGCTTGGACTGTAAAATGGCCTATTGAATTACGCTTTTGTATCAAGCATTTATGGCATGTTGCAAAGCAGCGCTCCCTTTCCAGAGGTGCCCTGGGCATTCTCCAGTAGAAAAATTTGAAATTTGAAATTCCCTTAGAGGTACAATCAGTCAAAAATTAGAAATTTGAAACTCCCTGAGAGGAAAAATCAGTCTAAAAATACTTCTTTTAAGTCTTAGATTACAATTTACAAATACCCCATTCACACCAGCAAAACATGTTTTGTTAAACTGGTTTTCATTGAATGAAAATTATAAACAGAGAACTGAAAAACTTGATTTTCCATTGGATTCAAGTACTTGCTAACTTGCATTTCCAATGTGCTACATTCAAGTCAAAAATATTCGGTTAAATAGTTTCTATGAAGAAAAAAAAATTAAACTGTGTTTAACAAAACAACTTTTAAACATGTTTAAGCTTTGGTGTGAATGGGGCAAAAGTAGCCAGTGTGAAATGATCTAACAGCTAGCAGATATCTGCCATTGAAAGCAGCTAAAGCAGCTCTTGATCATTGAACAAATTCTCCTTTTCAGTGCCTTAAGAAATGTAGGACAGTGTGGAGAATATATATACTGATGTAAGGGTGTTAGTGGTAAAACCTATATATACCATTCACAATTTCAATGAGAGTGGATTTGCTCTTAAACAGCAAAATTGTTACTTGTGGATAGACTTTTTAAACTGTTATTTAACATACTACATTCACCAAATGTGCTTTGCAGTGTCGTAGAGACTTCTTGTCAGGTGCAATAGGAAGATTTGATAATCCTAAAGATTTTGCAGTGTTGGTGATTTATGAAATCATCTATCGAGCAAGACAACCAAAATCACCAGTGCACCCAAAAGTTGTGATTGAGCATCCGTAAGTAATTTTTTTTTACAATTCATGCATGCATAACTTGACGTGTATCGATGATTAGACTCTATCTTACGTATAATTGTAAAATTCCAAATTGAAATGAATGTACTCCAAATCAGCAGGTTAACCCTTTAACTCCCAGATCAATTTTTTAATTGATCTTACTGTTAAACATACAATTCTTATGTTAGTTCGGAGAATTTAGTATTGGATCAACTAATTATCCCCAAATTGATATTTTTCTTTATTCTCATCTCATTTATCTGCTTGATATTGTATTGATATTGTAAGGAGAAATTCTGTCTTGGTTACTTGTGGGAGCTAAAGGGTTAAGGAACTCAGGCTTCTTTTACCAACTTCATGAAATAATGGCCAAACGCACTCCACCTATTGCATAATTTACTCTTGAATTTTTGAGAAATTTAGTACCCTGAATAAAAGTTGATAGTTAAATCTCACAAAATAACCTTTAATCCTTTGACCTCTAACTGTGACCAGCATCTAATTTCTCCTTACAATATCACCCCTGATTCACACTGTAAGGTCACAAGAATAAAGGAAATGATCACCAACTTATAAAGCTCTTGATCTTCAAACAAATTCTCCTAGTTAACATCACATGGAACTTATGGAGAATATGTATACTGATGTAAGGGTGTAAAGGGCTAAGTTAAGTAATTTTTTCATGCAGTTAGGTGACCTCCAAAAATACCAACCATACATTTTTCAGGGCATTAAGATTTCTTTTATTCATTTTTAATTTTAAATTTTGTTTAATTTTGTCAAAAATATTGTTTTGCTAATTGAATTTATTAATAATTGGTAGGGTTCGTTATCGAATTAAATCATTACTTCGGAGAGGGATATTTGAGGAATACTCCCTGAATGAAACACAGTCATTTCTTAAGGAGAATCTGGAAAACTATGAGTCTCTAAGAGAAACCCAACTCAAGATTCAGTATATCAGCACTCTGGAAAAGGCTGAAGACTTTTTTGTGCACAAGTTATCTTTTGAAAAGGTTTGTTCTCAACAAAAAGTGGAATTAAACTGTATGGGACCTGAAATTTAAGACAGAAGTGGCCACTGTTGAGGATGTGTTCAAAAGTGGTAGAAGTTTGTCATGCAGTGAACCATTCTTCGATACAAGACCTTCCCTGATCTTTGCCCTTTAAAAGTTTTATGATCACAAGAAGCAGAGCACAACTTTGTTTAGAGGGAGACTGGGGTCCTATGTTGGGATAGTATTGATCTGCTCTTCTTAAAGTATTTAAAATTCGCAGTCTAATGGAATATTGTGTCAGCTGTTTAGTTCTTTGTGCCTAAGAGTGACTTACAATATCACCCCTGAATTGAACAATAATGTCGTGGTATTAAAGGAAATGATCACCAACTAATTAAAGAAGCTCTTGATTATTAAACAAATTCTCCTTGTTAGAACCAAAGGAAACTTGTGGAGAATAGCATGGAGAAAATGCCTACTGATCTTAGAGTGTAAAGGGTTACTGTACTTAGTCAAGTACGGATATATAACGGTTTATCTTCATTTTTAATTGTTTCTTTGCACTCTTAACTCATATCAGGTCAAATCTTATGACGTAATGGCCTTTGTGACCATAAAACTGGCTTGAATAATTTCCTTCCCAATCTGTATAGCCAGAAAATTGAATTAATGGTTGCATATTCATTCACTTCACAGATTTACCAGAATGAAAATGGGAGCAGTCATAGAAAGTTTGAAGTTCACATCAGTGCATTTGGAATTAAGAAAAAAAGAAAAGACATTGAAAACAGTGTAAGTTTCATTTGGAAAGTTCATATGAAAACTACAATTCAAACCTGTATTAAGTGGTCACCCACAAGGGGTGGTGGGGTGAGTGCTTAATACATGTTGATAGGTTAATACAGGTTTTATAGAAAAGGGGTATGGTAAAAAATGATAAAAACAACCTTTTCTGCCATAATTGACCACTTGATGTACAAAAACTCACTCACAAATGCTTCTAACACTGATTTTGGGAGATTATTCTCAATTTTACTTGGTGGTCCCACTTTGAGTGACTGTTGAATGCAGGTGGAGGACAAGATAAACAGGCTGTTGGGACTCAGTATTTAAAGGGTGACCGTGACTGTTCAACAGAGGTGACCCCTTAATAGAGGTGAAATTTACCATGATGAAGGGGAAAAAAATTCAGGACTTTTAAAACTGACCACTTAATACAAGGTGACTTCTTAATACAGTGCCACTTGATAAAGGTTTGGCTGTATATCAAACAATGATGGCAAGTTATCATTCTCAGTAAACAATTTTTCTGGTTACAAATCTGTGCTCTTGTAAGGGTCAATAAGTATCTGAAGGATTTGGTCTTCGAAATATGTGGTGCCCTGTTTTTACACTCCTAGGACTGATCAACATGTAACTTCTCTTTGCTCTTCCTGTAATTCATCCAGCAGACAGGTTAGGAGAACAGACAAGCTTATCAGCTCTAGGGTACTGTCTTGATATGACACTAAATTCTCCTGTCTGATTTACAAGGAAATGTAAGGGAGTAAGAGGGGAGAATTGCCCACAGGATCTTAATAGGTCAAAAACTTCTGATGAAAGGGAGTTTTATTACTTGCTTCAAGACAGGAGTGGGCAGCCTGTAGCACATTGAGTCTGTTAGAGCACACCCCTAAACTGAGGTTTTTCCCCAACTTGGAATGGTTCTTTTTCAACATTCAATTAAATTGTTATGAAACAGTGTTCTCCTATTCAAGTGGTAACTGGAAAAATTTACTACCAGTAACACCTCTTGTTACTGCTTAAAATTGCTGGGAATTCTTGAAAATTCAATAGTTAAAAGGATTGCTCTAGCAGATTGAAAATTTCTTTTGCCTGTCATCCATTAAAACAAGGGAGAACACTGTTTATTAGATCATATTTGAAGGAAACTGTGTTTCTGTGTTTGTGGGCTGGTGAAACACCTCTAATAGATGATTCTTAACTGTTCATTGATTGTATTCAATTTCAGAATCCTGAGCCTATAGTGGAAAAGTTTTATGATGTAACAGAAATACAATTCGACCACATGACAAACCTCTTTAAAATATTTCGAAGGGATGATCATCCAGAGGTAATTAGGACAATTTAACAATGTAAACATGGCATATTAACCCTTAAACTCCCACAAGTGATTAACATGTAACTTCTCCCAATAATATCCAAGGCATTCATTATTCAACAAACAGGTAATAAGAATAAGTCACTCAAACTTATCAAGTAGAATTTGTTATCTTGATCTAACACCAAATACTCATAATTAATATATGAGGAAATGTGTAGCAGCTAGAGAGGAGAATTAACAATCAGATCTTGGAAGTTAAAGGGTTGAGATGTAGTCTTTCTGAAAGCAGTCCAGTGCGTTTCTGTTTGAAAAATTAATTTCTTTCAATTTTTCCCAGTGAGTCCATTTTAGTCTAGAAGTATTTGAAACCAATGTCATTTTTTGGTTGGCTCTAGTCAGGGAACAGGGACTTGCCGCCACTTCTTAGTCCCTCAACCTGGGGCAGGAAAACTCTCTTCTCTAATCTCTCATCCTCATTGCCACATCTTTCAAATAAGTGCAGATTTTATGTCAATGGCAAGTTTCAAGCAGCCTTAGGATTGATAACCAAGTGTTGTTCCGGAAAGGAGCTCTTTGGGGACTACACAAATGAACTTGGGAAAGCTTTATAGATCAAGCTAACTTTCACTCCGTGGTATCTGTAGTATCTGTAGTATCTGTAGTATCTGTAGTATCTGTAGGTATGTTCTTTGTGAATGGTAATTCAAGGCTGTAGCTGACAGAGGGGCAATGGACTCAATGGTCCCCTCTCTCTCAAAAAAATTTCAAGCAATTTTTTTTTTTATGCCATCTGTCCATGGAGTTCTGGGTAAAAAGTTTGAACCTAATTAAATATTTCCTTTGAAAGGTGGTTTTTGCAAGTCACTAGTTTTGGAAAATTGGCTTCTACAGAGCTCTTTACCTCAAACCTTTGCTTTGTTGCCCCCTCTTGGCCAAAAAAAAATTTTTAATTATTGCCTAGCTTGTAATTGGCTTGAATGGGTCTTTAAAATTTTCAGATATTGAAAGCAAGTTCCACAAATGATGCATATTCCCTGATCACTCTCATCGAGGGATATTACAGACTGATGGTTAACCAGTACAAGCTGCTTCTACAAGGTTAGTAATTTGCTGACTGGAGGAATGAGATCTTCTGGGTTTTGCTCCAAATCCGTACATCTTGACCGAATTATTCTGTTGTAGCTAAGGATTGAACTCTTGGAAATAAACAAAAAAAAAAAGAACCATTCCTCTGTAATGACACATTTTATGTTTATTTCTGTTTGTTTATTTGTATGTTTGTTTTCTAGGCTCCAAGAACTTAAGTCCTGCTATACTTCATGGGCCTATCATGTAAGTGAATGTCTTAATTCAACCCTTTGACCCCTAAGAGTGACCAGCATCTAATTTCTCCTTACAATATCACCCTTAGATCACATGTTAAGGTCACAAGATTAAAAGACATGATCATCAAATGAAGGAGCTTTTGATTGTTAAACAAATTCTCCTTGTCAGCACCATACCTTAGGAAATGCATACTGATTTTAAGGTATAAAGGGTTTAAACTACCCAGTAGATTAAGACCGGGTTCTTGAGTTTTGTTTTGTCCTAGGGCCATGCTATTCATGCTCCTTCTGTCATAATAATTTCTTAATCATCCTTTCAGGCGTGACAGAGCCTCAAACCTGCTACTTAGAGGAACAGTAGAAGGAGGAACCAAAGATGGCTTTTTCCTGCTACGAAAAAGTCGAGAGGTCTATGACAGCTATATACTCTCAGTCTGCGTTGCAGAGAAAGTCAGGCATTTTGTTATCAAATTCATTGCTGAAACTGGAATGTATTGCTACGAAAGTGACTCAAGCAAAGGATTTTCTGATTTAAAGGGGCTGGTGGAACATTACAAACGTTCAGCAGTGAGTTCATTATTTTACCAGCAAAATAAATCATTAACCCCTAAACCCCCAAGAGTGATTAGCATCTAATTTCTCCTTGCAGTATTACCCTTGAATCACACATTAAGGTCACAAGAATAAAGGAAATGATCACCAACTAAAGAAGCTCTTGATTGTTAAACAAATTCTCCTTATCAGCACCTTAAGAAATGTGTAAAGTTCAGTATAGAGAATGTGCATACTGATGTTAGGATGTAAAGGGTTAGCAGAGGAATCAGCAGAAGGACTTATCTGTTTATGAAAAAATTTAAAATGAAATTTTAACTGCTGCATTTAAAACGAATTAACTAGCTAGTTATTTATGACCAAACTTGAAATGATTAAAGAATACTTATGTTTAACTTGCATTCCACTCCAGGATGGACTTCCTGTTTGTTTGAAGCAGATGCTTCCACCAAATTGTGAAGGTGATATTTTTAATTAACACTGACAGCAACAAAGGATTATGTTAAATTGTTGTCCAATGCCTTAAGGAGCATGTACCTTCACAAACTTACTTTTAGTCTGTAGAACAAGGAACAAAGATATATATATTTAAGTAATGTGTTGTTGATTCTGAAAGTTTGTTTTAGACCTAGAATTGAATTGTTGCAATTCCACAGATGGTTCTGTGACCTGTGACAATGGATTCTCACTTATCTTAAGTTGAAGTAACAGACCCTTGATTTTCTAAAGCATTGGATTACTTTTGATATAAAATCTGTGAGAACATCTCATGGTAACCTAAAATATTCAATTTATGGCATTTCCATTGCATCTTTCAGTGTTGGGTAGCAATTGCATAGCAATGTTTGGTGTACATTACACAATATACAGGGATGTAAAGGGATGTAAAAGGAATGAAATGCCCAGAGAATAAACATTTTTCAGCCCTTGTAGGCAAGGTATTATTTCTTACCTCAAGGGGGTATATACCAAATTTAAATGGTTCCCCTTAAAGTTGAAATGTTGAAATTGTAGACTCCAATTGCACACACAGCTGTTAGGTATTGAATTTTTATAGCCAGTAGCTTCAATTGTTTATTTTTCTATTAGGTTTTGCAGCATTGCTTGATAGACAGGTTTTTACACCTGCTGTACCAGAAGTTCGTCTCCTTGATTCTTCTTACCAACTACAAGACTTGAATCTGGATGAAGAGACATATTTGCTATCGGTAAAACACTACAACTTAAAGTAATTTTATAATTTTACAATACTATACATTTCTTGATCAGTAGATAGAAACCTTGAACATTCTAAGTCTTGTTTGATTTATTCTCCCACTGACACAGCACCACAGTTTCCTTAGAAACTTACTTCCTTGTTATCCATGTGAATGGCAGATGAAAATTGTAAAATTTCTTGCATGTACTTCTCTGTCAAACTTCATCATCATTGTCATCATCATCACTGTTGTTGTCATCCTCATTATCATTGTCATGGAAATCATTTATAATAACACCTGTGCAGGATAACTTTTTATGAAAATAGGTGATTCACCTATGCAGTACTCTCCATGTGGGATGGACAAAGTAATCAACATGATTTCTTGTCTCAACATTTCATATATATCACAGTGCTAATATGCTGGCTTTAAACCTTTTGTATATGTAACAGGGTGAATTTGGTGAAGTAAAGAAGGGTTACTGGGAAAGAGGAGACGAACATTTTCAGGTGGTCTCAAGGGCACTGATCAAACCTCTGGGAAAGAATGTAAGCTACTGTTGAGAAATCTATCATGTAGCAAGACTTATTCATTGTATAACATTCAATTACTGCACCACTTACTCTTTTGACAAACTTCAAAGAGCTGGAAAGCAGATTTGCTAACTTAGAGCAGTCTTTGGTTGAACCTATGGATAACATGTGGTAGTTAAGTTTGATCACCCACATGAATGAAGTCCTGAGAAGGAATGTTGTGGGTGATGGTGACTGACATTTTAGCAAGTGACTCTGATGATGACTTCCATTTAGGTTGTTGAAATGTCAGTCATCACTAATGCCAACAGTCCTTCTGAGTACACTCACTGGGACAATCTACACTGTCACGTAGAACACACTTGCCTACAAAATTATCACAACTCCGAACTAACCAAGCCTAGTAAATGAATAATTTGTAACATCAAGGATAAAAGTATCATTGGATGATGATTTTATTATTTTATGTCCCTAGAAAATCTTTAGCTTCAAAGAGTTTATGACCAAGTTCACAGAGCTGAAGAACACGTACCTGACTATGTTTTATGGCATACAAGAAACTGAAAGAGCCTTGATCTTTGTATTTGAATGGGTACCAGAAGGTCCCCTTGATCAATATGTTAAGAATGAAAGGTAAATTGCTCTTTCAATTGATAAGTAATGGGACACATGACCTTAATCACCAGAATTTGCCACCCCAGTTGTTATTCCTTTAAATGTGACCATTTATAAACTGTAACACAGTGGCCCAATCCTCTCATGGATAGAAGAATGTA